ACTCACCTGCTTCTCCCCTCAGCAGCGTGCTTTGGTCAATATGCCTGTTCTGTTCCCTGCTCTGTCTCTGGTGAATCCTCTCACCCCCTGCACCTCTAGTTTGCACCCCAGCTCTTGTGTGCATGTGGGTTAGTTCTCTGGCCAGGGATCAAACTTGTGCTGCAGTGGCTGTGGATAGCCTCACAGTGCTGCATCTTAACCCCTCGCACCACCAGGGAGGCCCCTTACAAGGAAAAAATTTTAAATCCACTGTCAAAGGAAGATTTTTAACAAAATTACCTTAGTAATCAATAAATTAAATGGGAAAATAATAGTAAAGATATAGAAAATTTGTAAAATAAAAATATAACTAATAAGCTGGATCTAATGCACATTTGTATATAAACTACAATATGTAATATATAATATAATGAAGTGATATGTTGTATATTATATATCTATTTTTATATTATTATCTATTATATGCATATACATATATGCAGATATTACATACATACATTTATTTTACAATGGATAATATAATGCCAACAGTAGTTATCATATATAGATTTGAAATAGATATAACAACATTTTAATAATATCCAGATTTAATAAATATGGATAATGGATACAGGGAGGTTTGATTTTTCTCTTTTTCATACTTTTCCCATCTTTGATATATTTTATAATGTATTTTAAAATTAATTATTCTCAAGACAATCTAAAATTGAGCACTAAGGTTGAATTTCTGGTTTTGGTCTCTACAAAGGCCTGAAAGAAAACTGAGCCTGGTGTTCCCTCCTTTCACAAAATTTCCATCACTTACAAGAAATGTCACCTGCAAGAAAGGGATGCCACCTGCAAGAAGACAGCCTAGCAACTGGGATGGGGAAGAAATCAGATTAAAACTGTGCCTAAGTAAGGTGGATATAGCATATGTTAGGACAGAGATTTCCAGCCCTGTTTCTCTACAACATATCTGAGAAAGGAAAGTCACATCTGAAAACCACAAACAAAATAATAAAACAAAACAAACTCGCAATGGTAAATCTGATCTTTGCTGCTCCTTCTTGGCCAGAAACAGATGTTGGTTTGGGCAGTGAAGTGGCAGGGGTGTGAGGATAACTAGAAGGGATCCTTTGCATGCCTGACTTGTGTCCTCTTTGAATCGCTCAACCTTTGCCCATTACTGTGTGATATAACCTGACTTCTATTCTAGAGCTAAGATTGACCCTTCCCAAAGTCCGGAGTCTAAAGTCTCAGACTCTTCTTTACTCTTTTCTGGACCTTCTTTAGTGCTATTGAGTGTCTCACACAAAACAAATGCTTAAAGAAATGTATTCCCCAAATTGTATATTAAAAGACATTTCAGGGCCTCCCCTGGTGGTGCAGGGGTTGAGCGCTGGGCTGCGAAGCTGTCTGCAGCCTCTGCAGCACTGGTTCGATCCCCAGCCACCAGCAAGGGTACCATATGGCGCTATAGACCTCTCCTGCGGCACCCGCTGCTCCCCTCAGCAGTGTATTTCTTCCTCTGTCTGCCTGTTCTGTTCCCCACTCTGACTCTGGTGAATTCTCTCACCCTCCTGTGCTTCTGACTGTACCCAATGCTTATATAAATAAATAAATAAATCTTTAAAAAAAAAAAAGATATTTCAAAATGAGTGAGGTTAAGCCGCATATCTAGAGATGCACATTTAGGTGATAAAATCATAAGGAAACACAAGGAAGTTTATTCATATCCTTTTTAGGAGGTCCATATTATAATAGTATGGGCAGTCATTACTTCCAGAGGGAGTAGTGGCAGTGATTGGGACTGGATACATGGAAACTTCTAGTTGACTGAAAATCTATGTTTACAAGATTGTTGGTTTTATAGTAATTCATTTGCTTTAAGGTGGTTTTCTGCTTTAAAGGGGGTTTTATTTTACAAAGAATACATTTTTATTGGTATGTCCCATGAATGAATGAAAGACTCCATCCAGGCATTAAGCACCGATAGTTGCTAAAAAATAAAAAAAAAAAATTTTTTAAGACATCCAGACACCAGTGTACATGATGGGGAGTACAAACCACTACCTGTGAAGAGTCTGGCCCAAAATTGAATGTGTTCATGCCTCTTACAGCCAACCAACCCCAACTTACAAGCCAGAGGGACACTTGAAATGACACCACAGGGCTATAACCATCAAACTCCAGACTATAGGAAATTCCACAATGAGGGGAGAGTAGAAGATACACAAGAGAAACGTGTTGGTAAAAATGGATTTAACAGGGCCTCCCTGGTGGTGCAAGGGGTTAAGATGCAGCACTATGCAGCACTATGAAGCTATCTGCAGCCATTGTAGCACCAGTTCGATCCCTGGCCAGGGAGCTGCCCACATGGCACAGCAGACCTCTCCTGATTTGCTGGCTTCTCCCCTCAGCAGTGTATAAATCTTTAAAAAAAAGAAAATCTTTGAAAAAAATTTTTTTAAAATAAATCTTTAAAAAAATTAAAATAAAATGGATTTAACAGACAAGTGAACAAATCACAACAGGTGGACTTTACGTGGCTCCTATTTTAAACAAGTCAATCATAAACAAATATTTATAATATTTCTAAGACAATTGGGAGTATCAAAACTGATGATATTAAGAAAATCTTGTTAAATTTTTTAGCTATGATATTGTTTTTGATTACATTTTTAGAAAGTATCTTATTAGAGCCATATTAAAATGTTTCAAGTGAAATAATGATCTTAAATTTGCATCAAAACAGTAAGGAGATGAGATTGGGTATAACTGTACGATTTAATAATATTTTGTAAATTTTATTAAGTTGTGCAATCATCACTACAATCCAGTTTTCTAACATCTCCAGCACCCCCAAAAAGGTCACATGGTCCCGCTGCAGTCAATTCCCACCCCCACCTTTATCCCCACTCACACCCTAGTTCTAAGCAGACACTGGCTGAAATACCACTGCATTTCTGGATATTTCCTTTCTTTTTTTTTTTTTAAAGATTTACTTAATTTTTTATGCAAACAAGAACTGGGGTACAGGCCAGAGGTGCAAGGGGTGAGAAGATTTATCAGAGACAGAGTGGGAAACAGAACAGGCAGACTGACTGAAATACACTGCTGAAAGGAGCTGCAGGTGAGACAGGAGAGGTCTGCTGCACCATGTGGGTAGCTCCCTGGCCAGCTGGGATCAAACTTGTGCTTCAGAGGCTGCTGATAGTTTCATAGTGCTGTGCTTAACCCCTTGTGCCACCATGGAGGCCCTGGACATTTCACTTAACTAGAATCATACAGTAAGTTCTTTTGTGCATTTTCTACTAGTATATAGGTTTGACTTTCCGTAATAAAGGCCATTTTGTTGAATTGAACAATGACTCACATTTCTACAATACATTGTGTTTTGTCAAGTGCTTTATCTGAATTAGGGCCCGATTCTCCTCTCACCTGGTCAGATGTCTGTCCCCATCCAGCTGCCTCTCTCTGCCCACCAGCCTTGTTCTGCCTCCCACTGCCTCTGCATGGAGCCCGAAGGTCTGAGTTGCAGCCACCCCTGGCTCTGCATCCTCACTCAGCTCACAGTGGGTATAGCTCACTCTCCTGGCCTTGTTTTTCATCAGGAGAAACAGACAAAATATCCTACCTTTTCTCTGTCAACCCATAGTGGAAGGGGGTGCCCACAAATTATAGGTGTGGACCCTAAGAAGGCAGAGGCTGGCTTATTTTTTTTAAGTCACAGAGGCGGAAACAGGATGCTCTCTGGATCGTGTTTATCTACATAAACAGGATATATATGTGTGTGTGCATATCCCTCACCTGTGGGAAGAAGTGGAGGGAAGTTGTAAGCCTTGATAAGGAAGGTAAGGGAGGTTATAGCACCATGGGGCACCTGAGGCTGCCTTCCTAAGAGTGCGTGTGCATGTGTGCACGCCTGGGGACACCAGGGCACAGTTGTGTATACACATTTACCTCATGTTTGTGTTGCTGCACCTGGGGTTGCATCCGTTGGCAGAAATACTCCGAAATTATTGTTTCCTCTTTATGTCTTTGCATTTTTGAAAAATATGATAGTGTATGCTCTGTGACCCCCAATTTCGGTACTTTTACTGTTATCATTCTGGAAGGATTTAGAAGAAACCACTGATGGCATTTCCTTTGGGAATGGGATGGGGTCTCTGGACTCATAATAAAAAGAGGGGAAATAATCATTATTACTAGTGAGCAATAGTGTGCTTGCCTTCTCCCTGCAAACCCTGCTCTATCAGCCTACAATTGGGCCAAACATGGCAAAAATGCTATCAAATGCAACATCTCATTTAATTCACTTACTCTTTCTTTTTTAAGATTTATTTATTTTTATACAAGAACCGGGATACAGGCTAGATGCATGGGAGGGTGAGAGGATTCACCAGAGACAGAGTGGGGAACAGAACAGGCAGACTGACAAAATACACTAATGAGGGGAGCAGCGGGCACAGCAGGAGAGGCCTGCTGCACCATGTGGGACCCTCACCAGGCCGCCGGGATCTAACGGCGCTCAACCGCCTGCGCCACCAGGGTAGGCCCTAATTCACTCACTCTTTCAACAAATATTTGATAAATGCTCCCGTATGTGCCAGACACAGTTGTAAGAAGTCGGCAATATGGCTTGAGAGAAAGCATCAAAAATGGCTCTAAGGTGTGGCGCCTGAGCAGCTCGGAGGATGAAGTTGCGTTTAGCTGAGATGGGCAAGACTGGGGGGCAAAGGGGAGTGGAGGGGGTGACAAGGAGACCAACACGAAGTCCGGCTGGATAGGCTGAAGTTGGGGAGTCTGGGTGGGTGGGGTCCCACACGTGGTGTTACCAGCACCCGGGCCCTCTCTCCACGCGCCCAACTAGGCCCCATTAGCAGGTGCGGGCGGCCAGGGCCCGCCCCAGCCCCAGCCCCAGCCCCAGCCCCACCCCCACCCCCGCCCCGGCTCGGGCCACAGGGCCGCGCGCTGGCGCCCCCTGGCGCGGGACGGCGGGCGGCGCGGCGCGGGCGATGGCGGCGCGGGAGCGCGGGGAGCCGGGCCGCCCGGCCCTGTACTTCTGCGGGAGCATCCGCGGCGGGCGGGAGGACCAGGCGCTGTACGGGCGGATCGTGTCGCGGCTGCGGCGCTTCGGGGCGGTGCTCACCGAGCACGTGGCGGCCGCGGAGCTGGGCGCGCGCGGTGAGGCCCCGGGGCGCGGGCTGCGGCGCAGCGGGGGGGGGCGGGCGGGGCGGGGGGGGGCGGGCGCGGCGGGAACGCGCGCCTGGTGCGGACCCTCGGGCCGCGGGACCCCGCGTGCTGTGGGAGCCGCGCTCCGGTCTCCGCCTCAGTCACCATCTTCACCTTCTTGGGAACTTTCTGGGGCAACTTCCTGGGGCTTTTGCAGGGACGAGCCGAGCGGGAGTGGACGGGGCGACTCCAGTTCCCAGCTCTCCCGCCGGCGCCGTCTCTCCCGCCGAGCACAGAGCGTACCCCCTATTCCGCCTTTGCTCCCCAGGTCTCGGCCGTTCTCTCAGCCGGCGTAGACCTCAGTCTCTCGCGCGCCCTGTCTCAGGCTGGCGCCCACCTGTTCTGCTCCCCCCGGCTGCTGAGTCTTTCTCTTTTCTCTCCCCCTTGGACACAGCGCCGTGCGCTTAAGGGGTGCAGCCTCATGGCGCTCACATGTTGTGAAACGACTGCCACTGTAAATTTGTTAACATCGATCGCCTCAGTTACAAAAAGAAAAAAAAGATTTTCTTTTCCTTGCGATGAGAACTCGGGATTGACTGACTTGACTTTTAAATGTGCTATACAGAAGCGCTAGCTAGAGGCACCACGCTGTGCATCCCCAGCACGTATTTGTCCTGTAACTGAAGTTTGTACCTTTTGACCACCTTCACCTGATTCCCCCCATCCCCCGCAACAATTGATCTTTTTTTCTAGGACTTCCCCCCCCCTAAGATTCCACATATCAGTGAGATCATACAGTCATTGCCTTTCTGTCTGATTTATTTCATGTAGCATAAATGCCCTCAAGTTGTGTCTGTTTTGTTGCAGATAGCAGGATTTCCTTCTTCATGGCTGAGCAATATTCCTCTCTCTCTGTGTGTGTGTGTGTGTGTGTGTGTGTACCACAGTTTCTTTATGCATGCATCCATTAGGTTGCTTTCATGTCTTTATTGTAAATAATGCTGCAGTGAACATAAGGGTGCAGATATCTCCAACACAATGTTTTTGTTTCCTTCCAATGTATTACTGGAAGTGGAATTCCTGCATATGTGGTAGTTCTGTTACTAGATTTTGGGACCCTCCATGCTGCTTTTCCATAGTGATATCAATTTATAATCCCACCAACAGGCACAGGACTTTCGTTTTCTCCACATGCTCGCCACCATGGGTTGTCTTTTTCTTTTAAGATTTATTTTTATTTATGCATACAAGAACTGGGGTGTAGGCCAGAGGTGTGTGTGTGTTGGATGGTGGTGAGAGGATTCACCTGAGACAGAGTTGGGAGCAGAACAGGCAGATCTGTAACAGGGTGGTCCCTAGGAAAGGGGGAGGTTCCAGATTTCCTGCCCCACCCAAACGAGGGTGGAGCAGGTTTGTAGGGTCTGGGCTGCCTCTCTCCCTGCCCTATGTAACTGATCTGCTGAAATACACTGCTGAGGGGAGAAATGGGTGAAACAGGAGAGGTCTGCTGTGCCATATGTGCCCCAGGTATTGAACTCATTCTGCAGAGGCTGGCTATAGCTTTATAGCACTGAGACTTTAACCCCTGCACCACCAGGGAGCACTGTAGGTTTTTTTTTTTTTAAGATTTATTTATTTATGCATACAAGAGCTGGGGATACAGGCCAGAGATGTGGGAGTGAGAGTATTCACCAGAGACAGAGTGGGGAACAGAACAGGCAGAAGGACCAAAATACACTGCTGAGGGGAGCAGCGGGTGAGACAGGAGAGGTCTGCTGCACCATATGGGTTGCTCCCTGGCCTGCCAGGAATCGAACTCGTGCTACAGAGGCTGCGGATTGCTTCATAGTGCAGTGCTTAACCCCTTGTGCCACTAGGGAGGCCCTGGGTTGTCTTTTTAATGCTAGCCTTCTTACCAGGTGTGAGGTGATCTGTTATTGTGGTTTTGATTTGCATTTCTCTAATGACTAGTGATGTTGAGTACCTTTTTTTGTACCTATGGGCCATTTCTGTATCTTCTTTGGAAAAATTCCTATTCACATCCTTTGCCCATTTCTAAATTGACTTTTTTTTTTTTTATTATGGAGCTCTTTATATATTTTGGATATAAATCACTTATCTGATATAATTGGAATTTTTACTTTGCATAGGATGCCTTTTTGCTGTGCAGAAACTTTTTAGTTTGCTGTAATCCCACTTATTTTTGCTTTGTTGCTTATCCTTTGTCATATCTGAAAAATCATTGCCAACACATGTCAAGGAGCTTCATTCCTGCTTTCTTGTAGAAGTCTAATGGTTTCTGCTCTTAAAATTAAGTCTTTAATCCATATTGAATTAATATTTGTAAGTGGTGTAAGACAGGGTTTAGTTTCATTCTTCTACATGTGAATATTTTTCCAGCACCACTTACTGAACAGGCCCTCTTTTCTCCATTTGTATTCATAATTCACTGGTCAAATATCTGTTGACAGTATATACACGTTTATCTCTGGGCTCCTGATTTTGTTCCATTGGCCTATGTGCCTGCTTTTATACTAGTGCCATACTGTTTTGAATATTATAGCTTTATAACATAGCTCAAAATAAGAAAGTGATGCATCCCACTTTGTTCTTTTTCCTCAGGATTGCTTTTGCTATTGAGGGCCTTATGTGGTTCCATGTAAATATTAGGATTTTTTTTCCTCCTTTCATAAAAAATGCTATCTTAACAAGGGCTGTACTGAATCTATAGATGGCTTTGGGTGGCATAGACATTTTAAATTTTTCAGTTCACAAACCTGGGATAATTTTCATTTTTTTGTATCTTTGATTTATTTTATATCTACATCATTCTTCCTTTTTGTACAGTGCATGCTTTCTCCTCTCAAGTGTAGTTTTTTTATTTCTTTAATGTCTTATAGTTTTCAATGTTGAGATCATTCACTGCCATGGTTAAAGTTATTCTTAGGTATTTAATTGTTTTTGATACTCTTTGTAAATGGGATTGCTTCTTTTTCAGTAAGTCTCAGTATTGTTTCTTTTTTGTTGCTAGTGTTCCTAATGCATAGCTGATCAGCTGGTCTGTAATCTCCCTGACTCTTCCTGGTTGTGCCTAGAACTCTTGTACTTCTGCTCAGAAAAACTTAAGTGGTTCCCCTTGCCCTACCCAGAAGCAGACCCAGGATTTGTGGGACCTAATGCAATTTTGGAAGACCTCTTTACAAAGATGACTTCACAAAATTGGTAGGGTGTGGCAAAGGGCCTGTGCAAATGAGGGACAACACAACTCCAGGTTCATGCTTTCATAGCTATCCCTGCCTGCTCGTTCTTGAACTTTAGTGTGCCCAAGTATCAAGGAAGCTTGTTTAAAATGCAGATTCTCGGGCCTCCCCGGTGGCACAGCGGTTGAGCGCTGGGTTGCGAAGCTGCCCGCAGCCTCTGCAGCGCCGGTTCGATCCCCGGCTGCTCCCCGGCCACCGGAGGAGGGTACCACATGGTGTGCAGACCTCTCCTGCCGCCTGCTGCTCCCCTCAGCAGTGTACTTCAGTCCTTCTGCCTGCTCTGCTCCCCGCTCTGGCTCTGGTGAATTCTCTCGCCCTCCCACACTTCTGACTGTACTCAATGCTTGTATAAATAAAAAAATAAATAAATCTTAAAAAAAAAAGTAGTCTTTTAAAAAAAAATAAATAAATAAAATGCAGATTCTCATACAAGAGCCTGAGGTAAAGCCTTGGAGTTGATTTTTAACAAGCTCTCCAGTGATTCTGCTCTGATGGGGTGGCCATGAGCCTCAGGGTACCTAAAAGATCACATTTAATCAAGCTGGAACCCTGAGATCCCTACTCTGACCCCAGCATGCCTCTCCTACCTTCATTCCACCACCTTGTACTGATCACTTTGCATTTGGGCAGTGGTTCTTGAACTTGGGTGAGAGCCAGAATTGCCTGCAGAGTTCATGCAGCACCGCAAGCACACTGGCACCTGAGTCTCTGTAGTGCTATCAAGGTCTCAGGCGAGTCTGGTACCCACCAGAGCTTGCAAGCCACTAGGTTAAGCTGTAGTTGTTCTCTGTCCTTCCCCTGTCTTCCTCCTGTCTGCCATTCTCCCCACCTCTGATGCTTTTCTTCCTTCTCACCCATTCTGACCCACAGCAGGTTCATTCTTCCCTTAATCTCATCTCTCTCACTCATCTGGCCCTCATCATACATCCCACCTTGCACAGGACAGAATTTGTCCTGGGCTATTCTGTTTCCTCCTTTGTTTTTGTGGAGCTGAGCTGGGCGGCTCTCAGAGGTCATCTAGTGCACCTCCCTCTTCCTGAGCAGAAGGGCTGCGGGGGATGACGAGGGTAGGGGAGACTTACTGAGTACCGAGGACTGGCATTGACCAGCTTTCCCTTCACCACAGGGGAAGAGACTGCTGGGGGCGACAGGCTCATCCACGAGAGGGATCTGGCCTGGCTACAGCAGGCGGATGGTGAGTGGCCCTCCCTCCTACTGCGAACTCCTGTCTGGACAGGAGGCCCTAGACAACTCTGGCCTCCATATCAATAGGGGCTCCCTAGAATGCCCTCCTCACTACACCCAAACTGTCACCTCTTCCCCAAAAGTCCCAGATATTGAGCCTTAGTCTCATCTTTCTTCACAGTGGTCGTGGCAGAAGTAACCCAGCCATCCTTGGGTGTAGGCTATGAGCTAGGACGGGCCGTGGCCCTCAACAAGCAAATCTTGTGCCTGTTCCGCCCCCAGTCTGGCCGAGGTGAGCAATCCCAGCCCTGGATGGTCATCCCCCCCACTCACTGGTGGCCTGGCACGTTAGATCCTTTTGTCTCCTCATTCTCTAATGATGGATTCTGGAGGCCAACCTGGAAATCCTAGCCAGGACCAGCCCTGAGCTCCTTCCCGGGGTACTCTGAGTACATTGCCCACCTCCAAGGGACAGGAGGGAAATGGAGTGGGGTGGGGAGGGTAGGAGGGAGACCCCTTCACCTTCCTCTGCCCTGGCAGTGCTTTCAGCCATGATCCGGGGAGCGGCAGATGGCACACGGCTCCAGGTGTGGGACTACGAAGAGAGTGAGGTGGAGGCCGTGCTGGATCGGTACTTTGAGGCTGATCCTCCGCAGCAGTTGGCTGCCTTCCCTGGGCCAACTACTTGACAACCCCACTTTGTTAAATTCCTCTGATCCCAGATTCTGCTCTATACCATTCCTACCTCTCAGTCCCATACAAATTAAAAGGTGGGGCTCCCTGGTGGCCTAGGGGTTAAGTCTCAGCACTATCACCGTGATGGCCTGAGTTCAATCCCCAGGCAGGGAGCTGACCCACATGGCACACAGACCTCTCCTGTCTTGCCTGCTGCTCCCCTCAGCAGTGTACTTCGGTCCGTCTGCCTGTTCTGTTCCCCACTCTGTCTCTGGTGAATCCTCTCACAGCGCCCCCCCCCCACCTCTGGCCTACACCCCAGTTCCTCTATGCATAAATAAATAATAAATCAAAAAAAATAGAAAAAGTTAAAAAAAATTAAAAGGTGTGTTTACAATTCTGACTTGATGTCTGTATGTGTGGTGGGTGGGGCGACCTTACTAATATCCTGTTCCCCCCACTTCACTTTAAGATATTGTCAGACCCTTTGAAACTCTGTAGGCCCCCAAGAGGAAATTACTTCCTGAGGTCCTCCAGCCCCCACCAGGAACACGCAGGACCAGCGAGACGGCCAGTCCTGTCTTCTTGCGCCTGGGCTGGGTCTGCGCGAGCCCTGTGCGTGCCATGTGGGCCTTCATTCCCACCGCAGAGGTCAAGTGAGTCTGCTTTGGGCATCCTCTGAGGAGAGGCGTCTACAGGTCTAAAGAAAACCATAAGGGACGAGAAGGGTTAGGTGTGAGTGGAGGGAGGTGGGATTTGAAGCTGGTTTTCGGGGAAGCTACCCAGCCTGCTCCAGAGAGGTATGTGAAAAAGAAGTTTATTCAGGAAACAGGAGAAGGTGCTGTAGACACTGGGAATCACCTCCCCCATGCAGGTGGGGCGGTGCACTCCGGCCTGGTTGGCCAGAGGACTGTGGGAGCTCCAGGTATTCCCGGCATCGGCCCCCTCAGTCATAGGCCTCGTCGTCGTCGTCCTCATCACCAAAGAAGAAAGTCTCTCGGTCCAGGTTCTCAGACTCCTCGTCGTAGGAGAAGCTGTCATTATCCAGCTCCTCGTCAAACTCATCCTGCTGCCACTCGGGCACATCGTCCTCGTCCTCGTCATCCCCCTCCAGCCCCGAGGAGCCCAGCAGCCTAGGGAGAGGGCGCTTGTTCAGCCCGGGGGAAGCCTGTACCTCCCCCACCCCCCCGCCCATGCCAGGGGCTCTGCCTCCCCACTCACTGGTGGCCTGGCACGTTAGATCCTTTCGTCTCCTCATTCTCTAATGATGGACTCTGGAGGCCAACCCGGAAATCCTGGCCAGGAGACAGGAGGGTGTCGGGAAGGAGGAGCAGCCCTGGGCCTCTGAGCATCTGCTCGGTGCCAGGCACCCGCCAGATTGCTGCCCCCTCCTCTGCCTGCCCCAGCACGGCACCTCACAAGCCACTGCCTTTGTGGGACTAAATGCAGAGGTGGGATCCGGGGGGGGGGAAAGGACAGGACAGTGGGGCACAGCCCTCCCCTCGCCCCCGCCCAACCACATGTCGGGAGTTTAGTGTTTGTTCATGTCTTTTCTTCCCAAGTGACTTAGCAGTCTGTGGACCTGACGATTCACAATTTAGACTCAACATGAGTGTATCAGAGCTGGGAAGAACCTCAGGGATCCCTTATTCCAGAGGATTCCAATCCCTTGACCCTACTCCTGGGAGTCTGACTTCACATCTGGGAAGTATAGTCTGAAAAATTCTCAAGTGATTGTGCCCACAGACCCTTGATCTGAGCTAACTAATTCCTTTACTTGATGAGAAGCATCAGGTGGTTAAGTGGCAGGTCCAGGAGCATCCAGCAGGCTGGCCAATGAGCTGGGACGCACACCCGTCTCCTAACATCCACTCCTCCCGACTGCTGTTCCTTCTGGATCCCCCCAGGACAGGGGCTATTTGGGCGCAGGAGGGCCCCCACAGCTGTGAGGGAAGGAGGGGCGCAGGATGGGTGGCACACGTACCTGGGTGGAATGCTGCAGGATCGCCAGCAGCCTCTCCTGGATGCGGCGGAGCAGCTCCAGGCCTGTGCTGAGACGGTCTGCCCGCAGGAGGCGCAGGGACGAGGCCAGGTCTCTGCAGCGCAGCAGGGTCTCCTCTGCAGAGGGGGCAGGCCATAGGGCTCCCTCCCTCCCTTCTTCCTTCCCTCCACTTCTTCCTTTAACAAACACCTATTGATCATCTACCACATTTTTTTCACCAGTGTCTGCCAGGTACTGCCCTCAACACTCATTCTCAGGGGGCTGTCACCCTCCTGGTAGGGGCAAATCGCCATCAAGTCAAAGGGCAGGTGAAGAGCTGCAGCCTTAGGCACCTACGGCATGCGCTCTATACCCTCCTCCGGAATTTTACAAGGCGCTGGCGGCAAGGCTATGGAGGTTTCAGTGGGAATCATCAGGACAGTGCTGGCAGAGACTGGGTGGGCTGCTGTTTCATCCGCCTGTGTGTCTGCTGGGGAGCATGCTCAGAGGGGAGAGGTGGGCAGGAGAAAGGTCTGACCAGGGTTGGGGGTGGCCTCACCCAGGAGGATCTGCAGGGCATTGGTGTGCAGCTCCAGGTTTTCAGTCTGCTGTTCCAGCACGTCCATGTGCTCCGTGTCCTGGTTGTAGAAGCTGTACACGCAGGCGTAGGCCAGCACCTAGGGGAGCCCAGGTCAGCCCGCCCCCTTTGCAGGCCTCCCAAAGGCCTCCCTCCCCTCCCATCTGCTTTCTCCTCATTCCATGCCCCCTGGACACCTCCCTCTCCAGCTCCTCTCCCACCCTCCACAACCTTTCGAGCCTGCTCGAGTCCCCGGCAGGCATCACTGAGGAACGTGAAGGATTTGGTTGGGGGCACCTCATGGATGGCAGAGACCCGGTTCCGTAAGTTCACAGCAAAGTCCTGTGCAGTGGGGGGCAGAGCAGCGCTGCGTGTGCAGGTCAGAACAGCACCCGTCCATAGGGATCTCTGGTCCCTGCCCTGCCCCCCACCCCCAACCCTCTGACCCCACCGACCCAGCTGCTGCCCCTGCTTACCCGTGCCTGGTGGTGGAAAGTACACCTCTCGTTATAGTCTTGAAACCGCTTCTCCTGGCGAGCTGCTTTGCTTACCTGGGAAGAGCACATGACAGGGCTGCTGTGCTGTCAGGACAGCATGGGATGAGCGGCTGCCCAGATGTTCTCTAAAACCTTCTGAACTCTGGTTCTGGTCATCTTAGCAACCCCTTTTGCAGATGAGGATCCTGAGGCTTGCACAAGTAACCTGACTGGCCCAAAGCCACACACTATGGGGAGGAGCTGGGCTGAGGCTCAAGGGTCTGTGTGCTTCTCTGCTCTGTCCTTGTACCTCCTGAGAAGGCCCAGCCTGCCCCAGCCTTCCTGAAGCCACCTCAGTGTGAGAAAACTCATGTGGACATAAAAGCCCCATGCGAAGACCCCCCCAAGACAGACCTCTCAGCACCTGTGCGTCAGGTAGCTTCTGTCTTCTCCCCCACTGAGCCTTTGTCCCAACAACTGTTCAGCTGCTCTGGATGCAAGCCCTCTGTCCAGGGCCTGAGACAGCATCCCATCCTGACCCCCCTTGGGCCGCTGCCCTCCTCCCCAAGCCCAGCCCCTTACCATGGCAGAGCAGTTGTAATAATCTTTGTGATTTGGCTTCCAGGACTTGAGGCAGCGCCAGCAGAATCCATGGTTACATTTGGCACACGTCATGCTGTGGAAGAAGTCAGCTGGCCAGAGGGCACCTGCCTCTGGCCTGGGCCACAGCAGGAATGCCCTGAAGATGCCCTGGCCTCCCTGTGCCCTTCTAGTCTCCTAACCTTCCAACCCCTACTGAATGCTCCCTGGCTGTGGATCCCCCCCATATAGTCTACACGGAGAAGACTTAAAGGTGGGTGTAGAAACAGTAAAATCCCGGGATCACTCTGAAGGGCACTCTGTGCCCACACTGTACAGCTTTCCCATAAGCCCACTGCCCCTTCTTCACTGCCCGGCCTCCACCCTGCCCCTGTGCCACAATACCCCCTCTTACTGCAGACAGCCCTCGTTCTTTTCAATGGGTGCCTGACAGCTGGGACAGCGCTTGGAGATGAGCTTGGCAAGGTGCTTGCTCTGCGCCTCCACGCTCATGCCGTCGTAGTAGCCACCATCATCCACCCACTGGGACATGTGGCCACAGCTGGCAGGGTAGTGTGCCTGGAGGGGGTGGTGAGGACACAGCTGAGCCCTCATGCAGAGGGCCATGGGGAGGGCTCATGAAAGCAGGCCATCTGTGCGTGTGCAAGGTGGAAAGCGGGCTGCTGCTAGAGGCCAGGGCTGGGCAGGCACCCACCTCAGGGAAGCTACAGTTGAAGCAGGAGGCCCAGCCACACTTGGAGCAAGTGGTCCCGCAGCCCAGGCCCTGGCGGCACAGGATGCGGTCGCAGCCCTGGGGGTTGGTGCACCAGGTCAGGTTGGAGCAGCTCTCCACGTAGCCACGCAGCAGGGCCTTCTCGTACTGTGGGACGTTGGCCCAGGAAGTAAGGACAGGACTCTCAGGGATAGCTGCCCCCCACGCCCCCGCTCCCATGCCCTGCTCTCCAGGGCCTGCCTCTCTGTGCACCGCAGCCACTCTCCAGGGAGAGGGTACCTTGGAGATGACCTCTGGCGAGGAGACGATGGCACGAATGAAGGCTCCGGTGGGCTGGGCGGGGCAGTCGGCAATGGGGCAGGTACAGTTGAGCACGAGGTTCTGCTCGATCCGAGTTGTCAGGTACTCATTCCAGCAAGACTGGGAGGGGGAGAGGAGGGGACTACTTGGGGGCAGCAGCACAAGAGGACAGCGTCTCAGGAACTAAGGGAGCGCCCGCCCCGAAGACGAGGGTGATGTATGGCAGACCAGAGACGAGGCTGCTGCTCCAACAACCTCAGGAGGGATCCCGACCTTTCCACCATCCACGAGCAGCGGTTACAGTTGTTCTGAGGGTGTCTGGGCCAGGGGTAGTCGCGGAATTATAATTTTTGTTGGGATGGACATAGAGGGAATGGCACACAGAGGAGAATCAAGACAAAGGAGAAAGAGTTCAGTTGCAGAGATGTGGAGAGAGTGAGGTCTGAGAAGTGAAGCGCGGGCGATGGGCCCCCCTTTCCATACTGGGTGGCTGGCCTGGGTGCTGCAGACGCGGCACGGCCTTTCTACCTGCTCACCACAATGCCTGCCTCGATGCTCCTGTCTCCCCAAAAGGTAGATTTGCCCACTGCATCCCCCAAATCTTGATCAGTGGTTCTTCACTCCCCAGTCCTCAGCGTCCCATGTCAGTGCCCTGCTCGAATCCATTATTCTCTCGCCCCCTAGACTGCTGAGTCTGATCGATGCTTTTCCCGCCGCCACCTCTCCCCACGCACCATGCACCAGGTCCTGAGCCTCCAT